AATCTAGTATTCAGTCAATGGGACATAGTAATGATACCATGGCAGTTTTCATTTCTTGTTTCAGTTTCACAGTTATTTGTATAACAGTCATTTTATTATGGTGGGTCTGAGCCTTCTTTTTCTTTTTTCACAGTCACAATTATTTGAGGACTAGTTGGGGTTCCTGGTTTGATAATAGGGGCCAGTTTAGGCATGGGCATTTCAGTTTTCGCAGTTCCATTGCCAGCGCTAACAGCAGCTGGACTGGATGTTGTAACAGGACTCTGAGCACTGGCAGCTTGTGCTAAGGACATCAACATGCTGGTAGCCCCTGTGGTGATGGTAGATTTCTGTATGGTTGCACTAGGCTGTGACATAGGTGTAGTTGTGGATGGTGAGGAAGGCACTGACATCACTACATATTTACCCCCTGCACTGCTTGTCAGTAGTTTCTGCGTGGTAGACGCAGCACTGGTAGTCACAATCTTTACTAAAGTAGTTGTCTGTGCAGTTGTCTATAAAACAAACCAGAAAATAATATAACAGGGAACATTGAATAATAGAAATTTTAAAAATATATTTATTCCTATCATAGAGTAGACAAAATATAAAGCAGTTTTGAGCTACAATTAATGAATGAAATGATAATAAGCCGCAATTTATTATATTCATTTTATGCATACCCACTCAGACAATGAGATACAAACACCCCAACACTTGAGGATTTTGAATGCCATAATATTCTTGCATGTAGAATTATGACAGTACTCACAAATAAAGTGACAGACCTGGGTATTTGACACACATTTACATCAGTTGGGTGATTCTAAAAAAAAAGTCACCCACCCAAACATTGACAGGTGCATTATCAGCAAAAATAGTAAAGTTAAAAACCCAGTGAATAATATAGCGCCACCTAGTGTTCAAATTAGTAGTTTCAGTCATTTTATTTAAAGTGATTATCACATGGTGTGAAGTTGTATTATTTGCTAAATTATTTGAAAACCATTACCATATCCAGTGTAAATTATTTGAAAACCATTACCATATCCAGTGTAAATTATTTGAAAACCATTACCATATCCAGTGTAAATTATTGGAAAACCATTACCATATCCAGTGTAAATTATTTGAAAACCATTACCATATCCAGTGTAAATTATTTGAAAACCATTACCATATCCAGTGTAAATTATTTGAAAACCATTACCATATCCAGTGTAAATTAGCTATGAACCATAATCACTATAATGTACGTGTTTTAGAAACTGACCATAAACCCTGTCATGCAGAGCAGTTTTGATTTCTGTTTTGGAACACACTCGGCACAAAAATCCTACAAGTTTGAAATGTTCCATGTTTAAAGTTTTCTTGGACGTATTGCCAACAGATGTTAAGTCATCATATAAATTAAGAAAGGAATCACAATGAGACACATTGCAAACCAATCTTACCAGGAATGCTTCACATAAAATTTTGAATAATTTGAAAGCTGCATTCAAATTAAATTGTCAGGAAATGTCTAGGTAATGAAAACTCAACCCCAATCAATTCTACAGAAATTCACTGCCATGTTCGGCTATTTGCACAAATTTCCCGACCCAATTATTCTGTGAATACCTTAATTGTTGCATTTGGTATATTGGTACAAATAAAACATATTTCACAATACAAGTCAAGGGTAATGGCTGTTAATGAACACAATTGCAAATATCATATAATGCAACCATTAGCTCACACAAGCAACCAACGATCATTATTTTATAATTTGACAAACACTGGAGGAATGAACAGAACCAATCACAGTGCTTAGCAAAAAACCAATAGGAAATTTTAACCAAATAAAATTTAGTATTTTGAAATTTTATTTATATTGAAATACCTGAATTTAAATCCAAGAAATTTAAGAATGTTAAATGAATAACTGGAAAAAAGTGACAAGCACAGATGAAAGAATCATTGTATGAAATCACATGGTCATGTAAATTAGACCTAAGTCACTCAATAAACATTGCAAACAACACTGATCCTTTGATGCTTGTTGCAGTTTATAGTGATTAGAGGGCACATTCTATTGAGACAGATGTGTAGCATATTTTTCAAGTACCTTGAGACATTTAAACCACAGTTAGTTGTATGGTTCTGTGAAACCACACATTATGCGTTAACCGTTCATCCTTATTGAGCAACAGTCAGGCCCAATATACCTGGTACAACAAGGTAATGCAGACAAACGCATATGTCTTCAACTGTAGTTATTACATATATGGAGTTGGCTGATGTTTTACAACACTTCATGTGATCCAACTCTTTGTAGTCGCTGGACACCCTGACTGATTGTCCCAATACAAGGCCAAAATATATGTACACATGTGTACCCATGCAATCAGATGAATGTGATTGGCCAGTACACACTCCAGGCCATTAAGTCAGAGTTCAAAACTACTCACATGAAGTCACATAGCTCACATGAAGTCACATAGCTCAAAACTACTCACATGAAGTCGGCTTAGTCTTTTCCAC